TTAAATCCTTCCTCAGGCACATGTTGGCTGTTGTACTCTGAGTTAGTCATGGAACCTCTCAGTAGTCTACAGGTATAGAAGTTGCCAAATGGCTATAGATTCCCATTGATAAAGGGAGTTTCCTGACTGGGAGTTCCTTACATCAGTGAAAAAATAGATCTGGAACAACAACAACAACAACAAAAACCCCTATCTTATGAGTATGAGACACCAACTTCAACAGCTCCATGAACTTACTTCTGTGAGTATTCCCTTGACCAGGGAAAATTGCAACACACCTATGCTTTCTCTTCATTTCCATTCCTTGTCTATGTTGTTCAGTAAATCTTCTGAAAGCATATTTATCCATGTTGTTTCTTTACTTTGTTTAGCATTTCATGAATGCCAATGCAACCCCCAGTCTACCTATCACTAGCATTCATGATATAATCAGCCCATGTCTTTTTTTCTTGCTATAAATGTCTTTGTGACATAACAACATAGCATCATAAATTTAGAGCCTTGACAGGACGTTTGTCTTCTACAAACCCCAGAGCAGCGATCTTGATCTGGGTCAAGAAGGATCATTTGGGAAAAAAACAAAAGCAAACAGAAACCAAGGGAAATATTTAAATATTGGAAACCAATAGGTGGGTGGTGGCAGAGTGCACCTTAGAGATGAAGAAAGGGATTTTCAGATAAATGACTTTCCCAGTGTCACAAGTTAATAATAATGGATTCCTTGTATATGTTACTTTAAGGTTTTAAAAGCCCTTTACAAATATTATATCATTTTATCCTCACAACATGCCTGGGAGATAGATACTATGATGATCCTCGTTTTACAGATGAAAAGGTTAAGTGACTTGCAAGTGGTCACACAGCTGGTAAGTGTCTGAAGCCAGCTTTGCATTCAGGTTTTCCTGGCTTTAGGTCCATTGCTCTATCCACCTACCACCACCTAGCTGCCTATTAAGTGTCAGAGTTGGGATACTTCATACAAGTAAATGATTGTTGATAGTACTGTACATTCTGCTTATACCCATGAAATATTTTTCCATTGCCATTTGGGTTACCTGTAATTGTGATTCTTCACAGACCATGGCATTCCATGATCGACAGCTTTGTAACATTTCCAAGAGGTTAACAATGTCACAAGAATAGGCATCAGGAAGTAGATTGGAGTCATAGAAAATGTTATGTCAACCATTTCCTGGCTGTATCTCCTCTTTTATTCAACTCTGAGTTCAATGTCATATCCACTTCTCCATAGGTGTACAATACCAGTATATCATAATCTAGTCAATATACATTCTTCATTCACTTTTTTCCTTTGTAGATTGCTAGGCTTATCTCTTTGAGTGACCATGAATCTAGATTTCAAGACCTTTTGGTATTTCAGAGCTTAATACAATCAACACAGTGTGTTCTACACATAGTATAGACTGGGGAACCTCACCATTTATAGGAATTTCCCTTTTTTTCTGCGTGGACTTTGTGTAGGCACAGTCAAAAATAGTGGTGACCACCTTTAGTTTTCAAATTTCTCCAAATTGTATGCATTCCTTTATGTTGGCAATCAAAGATATATTGAGAAGTTTTCTTTGTGTCTGCATTTATAAAAGAAGCTTGAAAGATATTAGTAACTTGTTGGAAAAACCTTTAAAGCTACTTTTTGATCTATTGAGTCAAATGCTTTTGCATAATCAGCAGGTAATAAAGATATCTGGATCATGTGTTCACTTCATAACCTGGCCAGAACCTATTTTTCCAGGCCCTAAAATGAATAATTCAACCTCACACACTCCACAATCCAATCAACTTGGTTTTCTCTCTGTTTCTCAAACATAGCACTTTATCTCTTGTCTGTGTATCTTTGCACTAGCCAACCTCCATGCCTGGAATTCACACTCTTCTCACCTTTTCCTCCAAGGCTCCCTTTCTTCCTTTAGATTTAGCAAGCATCATCTATCAATAATAGTTAGCATTTTCAGGTTTGCAAAGCACTTTATAAATATCTCATTTCATTATGATCATTATCAAAACTATCATCATCGTTAACATTTATGTAGAGCTTACGTGACATTCATTGTGCTAAGGACCTTACAATTATCTCATTTTATCCTCATAAAAATCCTGGGAGGTAGGTGTTATTATCCCCATTTTACAGATGAGGCAGACAGAGGTTAAACTTTCCAAGGATCACACAGCTCTCTGAGGCTAGATATGAACTCAGATCTTCCTAATTCTACACCTAACATGCTACCTATCCATTGTGCCTTTCTGTTTCTACACAAAACATTTCTCTGATGTCCACAAATGGTAGTACCTTTCTTCACTATCTAGTATTTAACTCCTTTACATTCATTCTATCTATATTTACCCTGAACATTACGTACATATGTATTATATATAATTTTCCTTGATAAAATACAAAACCCTTGAAAATAACGATTGCCTCATTCTTTCTATTTGTATCCTAAATACTCAACAGGGTGTATATCACAGCTTAAATACTTAGTAAATACTTGGTTCATTCTCTAGACCTCTTAGTCCATCATTTCATTGTAAATATGTAAGCTGTAGTAGAAAATTTGGGGAGGAGAAAGCTGGGTTGTTCCCATCTTCTCTTCTTATCACAGATAGCATATCAAATCAATCAAAATGCATGTTTTTTAAAAGAAAAATATCCTCTGTTTTCTTTTCCATCCTCTGCGACTGTGCCCTAATTCCTCGACATACTTTGACAATCAGTTCCTTAGTGCCTTTAACATTTGGTTGCCAACAGCATGTTTTTACCATTTATGCAGTTGGTCAGACCTTGTTGCTTTTCCCAACTATCTTCTTAAGTGCCATTTTTACATCAACAGTACATTGAATACAGAGCTGTTAGAATTCAAGTGATCCCCTGCTGAGAATAAATCCTTATAGAAACAGTTTCCTATCTTTTAAAATTTGTGTGTATTTGTTTTTCTCCTTCCAATTTCATCTATAAATGTTCTTGAGGTAATGTAGTTATCTGAATGCCACCCCAAGATTTCTATGCTTTCATTTTCCCTAGTACTTCCTTTCAATATTTTGTGAGTCAATGCTGTTTAACACTGACATCATCTTCTACTGTATATGATCATGTATTTTAAACCAGAGGTGTCAAACATGCTGTCTGCAATATCTTCCAAGTAGGGCCCAAATCAGATGAAAATATAACTGGGAAATATTTAACAAAATAATTAAAGATACAATAGAACATAGGTAATACTAATATGTGTTTTTTCTGGGTCAGTATGAGGCTTTTGGGGGGGCACTTCTTTTTGAGTTCAAAGCCCTGCTCTAATCTAATATTGCCCTTAGATACCAATATTGCTTCACTTGGCAAGCTGTGCCTTTGCTTGATATAGCAGTTTCTGTACTTTTTTTTTTTTAAGCTTCCTAAATGTGTTGACTTTTACATTGGTTAAAACTTCTGTAAAAAGTGGTAATAATCAAAACCAAAGTTTTAACTCCTCTGTATTGTTCAGAGTGAACAAGTTTTTTTGTTTTATTTTGCTTTGTTTTTTTTTTGTTTTGTAAAAATAGCTTGGCCATGAAACCAAAGTTTCTCCTCTCCAAAGAAAATTTGCATCTCCCTTGTCTTAGGACTGTCACTATGGATGGGATTCTTTCTCTTCAGTTTTGTATCAACATCTTGTTCATTGAAAGGGATAATGGTTTGATAAGGACTAGAGATAGAGACTGAAGACATATTACGCATTTCTAAATCACATTGCATAGGGAACTCCCAGGTCAGGAGACCCTCCTCAACCAATGCAGGTTATCACATTCACTGTAACTTAGAGTCATAGAGACTTATTAAGGTCACTGAGAGGTTTAATGAATTTCTGAGGTCCCCTAGCCAGTATGCGTTAGAGGAAAGACTTGAACACATGTTGTCTTAGTTCAAAAACCAGCCCTAACTATTATACCATCCTGCCTCTGGTCATTAAATAAAGATTTTCACTTTTGAGTGCCAACAGTTATAATAATTCTTCACCTCCTTTCAGGCCACTCATTCTCTAATGGGAGTAGACCAAGTATACTTTTCAAAATTATGTCTCATTGTTCTAGTGCCTTTTAAAAATGTTTTTCTCGAAAGCAGCATATAAAATTAGAAACCAACATGTATTGAATCCTTGGCTTTAATTATTATGTCGAAGGGAATACAAACAGTCCCCTTGCTTTTCCATTTGACATCTTGCTCTTTCGCTCACTCATTCATCTCTTCTTTTAATAGCAATTTCCACAGGTCTCTGAACTTGCCACAAGTTCTATCTAGCAAAATGGATAGCCATGGACTCATTGATACGTTGTTCTTTTGTGCTTGTTCTGGTTTCTTTTAATTTGAGGTTTTTTGCTTATTATTTTTATTATTTAATTTCATTATTATTGTTCATTTTTACCATGTGGCTTTATCATAGAGTTTCTAGGAAATGCATTGCTAGCATAAGTGAGAGCTACCTATACTCAAATATATCATGAAAATAGTAAAATGCACTGTTTCTTTTTGTCTTTGTTTAAATCTTAGGCAGAAAGCCGATATTGTAGAGTAGACAGAGACAGAGGCCTTAGATTTGAGTTGATTTGGGTTCAGCCCCTGCCTCTGATCCATATTTACCCTATGGATATGAATATCTCACTTTCTTTTCATTGTCTCATTTAATACTTCTATGATGGAGTGAGGACAGTTGACAATTTGAGTCAGTGGAGGGAGTTTCCATACTGGGAAGATCCCATACTGATAAAATCACTTGCTCGGAAGAAAAAAAAGTGTCTCAGTAACCCATGAAAGTTTGTCTAAAAAGCAGTATTCATATCATAGTTTTGTCTTTTCCCTCATAGTTTAGCTAACAGACTATACAACCTCTACTATATTCAAGATTCAACAATAATCAGTTATTGAACTTGTGTTGTGTTGAACCCACAACTGTGTAGCAAATTATCCATGCCAACAGATACTGAAATATGTTTTCATTTTGTGTTTCCAGCTCCTAGTCAACCACCAGGGAATATTGTCTGGAATGCCACGGAGTCTAAGGTGTTAATTAATTGGGAACAAGTCAAAGCTATGGACAATGAATCAGAAGTAACTGGATATAAAGTAAGTTAATGCCAGATATCAGACAGAAACAGTTGCAACTTTTACAACATTTTCATACATGCCTGATCATGCATTTCATTTAAAAATATGAATCGTCTTCATGCTTTAGACAATAAGCAGGCCTTAATTATGTGTCCAACACGTACTAAGGCACTGTGCTAGGCAAACAGTGTTTGATGTTATTTTTTGAGGTGTTTGAGACTTAAAACTCCAGGAAAAAAGGCAACTTAAAAAATTATTTCTAGTTTCAATTAAATGCTACATGTGTGTTTTGCTCATTTGCTGATGCCATTTTGAGATTCCTTAAATTGGGCTGCAAATTTGTGGATGGTTAATTTCACTGTGCAATAAATTTTAATATTTTATCACTTCTGGTGCTTACTACAAAAACAAAGTAGATTAGGCTGTTGTACACAAAACTGAATAACTATTAGAAAATTTATTCATTGAAGTCTCATTTGGGAAATATATTCATGTTTTGTCTTTGGATGATATGCTTTCCTGAAAATCTATTCCACAAAAAAAAAAAATTTGTTGAGGATGGTTTGCATTTGGGGAATGGAAGCCTTTTTCTGCCTTATCATCCTTGTGAAACTCAAGTATAATCCAGTTCTCCAAGGGATCTGTGATCTCACTGATTTGGGTATTTCTTCCAATGATATAAATTCAAATTCATGCCTAATTACCCATTAGATCAGACCCTAGTCCAGTTCTTTGCATTACAGAGTGAGATTGGCGAGGGGTGGGAGGTGGGAGGAGTGTCTACCCAACTTTTCCCATTCTTTTAAGATTGCCTAGTTAACTGGCTGTCCCTCAGTTATACCTTGTTCTTGCCAAGCCATTTTTTTCCCTGGTCATGTCATTTTTCCAATAGCCTTTACATCCTCCATTTCTCATTTAATTTGTGCTGTGATCCGTTAACACCCACAAGGTGCCTCTTCATTGTCCTTTGGGTGATTGTCAATTAAAATTCTTTGTACACTATACTATCGCATGACTCACATACATGTAGTACTCAAATTAATTATTTATTATTGATAGACTACAATAAATTGAGACCTTTTTAATGAATGTGATTTTAATTGACAATACATGCATAAACACAACCTTGATTAGTTCATTTCTTAGTAATTTTTCCCTATTTATTTTTCCAGGTTATTAGTTCATGGATATCATATGTTTAGGTTTAATCAGAGACAACACATTAAGTCTTTTTGTTTTCTTCTAATTTTTTGGCTAGTGAAATGTGGTAGGATAAATAAACAGATGGCTTTTCTTGCCATTTCTTAGGCAATACTTGGGTTCTAGCCCTTAGTCTTGCTTTTCTGTGTCTCAAGGATAAATAATTCAACCTTTCAGTCAGTTGCCTGTTTCAAAAGGGGTAAAATGAAATAGGAAAAAATATTTTATAATCTTTGGAGTGGATTTCAGCTTGGAGTATGAAGAAGAAGGTCCTGAATTTAATATACCTATGTAAGGGATTCAGAGACCTTATGGAAAGGAATGTCATAATGGAGTATAGTTTCAGTTTTTGTTGTTGTTGTTTTTGTTTCTGTTTTGCCCTGAGGCCTTCTAAAGCCAGTGGGTAAATCACTAGCTGCCAAAACAAACAAACAAACAAAAAAAGACCTATGAGATTTGGGTACATAGACATATTTTCTCTGTTAAGCATGGCTCTTTCCTATCCTCTGGGATCCAAATTTAATTTAAAGTCAGATTATTGCTAATATGATCACGTTGATGGAGCCTGGTGTAATGACTTATTTCATTGGTACAGATCTCAGCTTCTATAAATTAGCACGTTCTCTTATTCTTTCCCATAAACCATCCACAGAGATCCTGTCCAATATGCTAGAATAGTAAAAGTAAGATATACTCTGCAAGAAGTAGTCATACTGAGTAATCAAGTACAGAGAAATTCATCACCAGAAGATTATGTACCAACCAATGATTTGGGGTGAGGGGATTCGTGGCAATCTAGGAAATGGATAAATCCAAAATTAGCTGTCAGTCCTGTGTGAAAAGAAAGGTAAAGAGGGCATTTAGAAACACGTCGTTCTTAGGTCTTTTACATACATTGATTTTAATGAACAGTCTTTGTCCAGCACTGAAGAGGTTAGCACTGTGTTTTTAAAAAGCCAAAAAATGGTTATTCAGTTTAGTAGGGTTTTTTTTTCCCTCTGCCAAAATAAAATGAGAATTGAGCCTATGTTTTTTTTACTATATCTAGAAAAGTTTGGGAGCCACGGTAAAAGTGTATTTAAGAAATAACTATCTGATGGGAAATGAGAAACTTATTTAAAAAAAATGGATATGGTGCCACCCAACTGGTATAGGAATTTCCCCAAAGGAAATAAAGTTCTTTGTGGCTCCCTCCTGAGTAAGAGCAGTTGGAGAAGCCAGTGTCTCCTCCCATTCTTTCCATTTCCCCTACAAGGCTTCTCGTTGTTGGTATGAGGGACAGCGCCATCAATCAGCTCCAGATGAATCTCTTAAAGGAGCAATGAACACCTCCCCTCACATAGACTACAGAACTGGGAAGTGTTACTGGTGAGAGGCTTTCTCCTTATTCAGTAAGGTTATGATGTATGTTTACTCACCTAAAAAAAGCTTATCTCTCTGCAACTCATATATTGATTCTACCCCCTGACTGGGCTGTAATGAGCCATATTCAGTTTATCTCTTTTATATAAACATCTTTGGGAACAAAAGTCGACTGTCCCCTCACCCCAAGACTCCCAAGAGTCCTTGGGATAGAACCTAAAATGGTCACCTTTAGCTTGGCCTCTTTCTTTTATATTATTTTGGTTTTTGAGTGGAGGGAGGGATTTGTGCTTCTTTTAGAAGGGGTGACTTCTTAACACTTCAAGAAAGGATTTCATAAAATATCATTTTACTGTGCATTGTGATATATCAGATTAATGCTAAGAAAAAAATAGTTTCATTAATAAAAAAGATTAGATTCTAGACATATATATGGAAATCATACATTGAGTAATGCAATTTTAATACATAGTCGGCTTTAATTTTTTTTCTTGTTTGGGGGAGCCATTAAATCACTTATTCATGGATAGATGGCTGTTTTGCTAGTGTGTGCAACAAAAATGACTCCCCTCACTACATCCCCATGTGCACACATGTCCTCAGACCAGAGATATATTAATGGAAAAAACCTGATTGTTCAAAAAACATCCCCTTTATGTGTTGTAGGTATTTTACAGGACAAGCAGCCAAAATAATATGAACATACTGCACACCAATAAAACATCAGCCGAACTTTTGCTGCCTATTAATGAGGACTATATTATTGAGGTAAAGGCATCGACAGATGGCGGCGATGGAACTAGTAGTGAGCAGATCAGGATCCCGAGGATAACAAGTATGTTATCAGGTTTTGCTGGTTGTAGATGAGAATTTAGTGCATTATCATGTGTTTGGTATCAGGATGGGCAGAGCACACATCATCTTTTTTCTTCTGTTCTTGAAAGTGGAACCAATGAGTCATGATGAACTATGGAGCTTTAAGGGTCGTGGAGGGAAGATAAGAACGGGAAGAGGTGGAAATTGACAAGAAAGAATGAAGAGAGTCATGTGGCATAATAGAGCCCCAATCAGGGTGGCCTGAGTTCATATCCTACCTTAAAAAACTAGCAGTGTGACCCTAGACAAGTCACTTACTGTCTTTCAGCATAGGTTTCCTTACCTGTAATAATAGCATTACCTCATTGGGTTGTTAGGAGAATCACAAGATATAATACATTTGAAGCACCTTGTAAATCTTAAAGTGGTCTATGAAGGTTAGCTATTATTAGTTAAAAAAATATGTCAATAAAACCCCTGTAAATGACAATTCAACCTAGGCTAAAGCTGCCTCTGCACTCTGTAGGAAGAAATGTTTTGCTAATTAAATTAATTGTGCAAGAGAGTATTTAACCTATAGACAGTCTTTTTTTAAGGTCATTAGCATTCTAATTGCTTGTATACAACTAATTACAGAGAGATCTGATCTCCTCATTAAAGATGGTCCAGTGGATATTCTCTTTGGTTGTTAGCAAATAATTCAATTTATACAAGTCCTTGAAAGGAAAAACAAAACAAAACAACTGCATTTCTTTATAAAGAATATTTTTAATTCAGATTTTTCATTCGTTCTTATTATCATTTACATAATTAGTTCATATTAGTAGGACTTTACCACTTTAAGAAATTAAATTAGAAAAATAGCTATAAAATCATTATAAAACTCTAATTTTCTGCACTGACCCAGTTTTCTAGTCATTTTTAATCCAAAGTTTTGGCTCCCTAGGGCCATTTTTCAAGGTAGATATTACCACTAAATTCTTTATTCCTGAAGCACAGGTCTGGCCAGATCATTCCCCTGCTAAATAAACATTACTGTCTCCCTGTGACCTCTAGAATCAAATGCTGTTTGGCATTTAAAATTTTTCCTAACCTTACTGCAGCCAATCTTTCGTTCCTTATTACATATTATACTCCCCTTCATGCACGCCATTTTCCAGCCAAACTGGCTTTGCATCTCCCATCCCTGAGCTTTTACATAGGCTCTCCACTAGGCATGACATGTTCTACTTCCTGACCTTCACCTCTTAGAATTATTATTTTGCCTTAAGACCTAGCTCAAATTCCATCTTGTACATGGACCTTTTGTAATCCTTTTAGTTGCTAATGCCTCACCCAACTACCCCCCCAATATCATCATGTATTTATTTTGTACATATATAAATGAATATGTATTCTCTCCAATGAGAGAAGCGCCCTGAAAATACATATCTACATATCTATCTACATTTATATAGATAGTTATCTATGTAGAAATAGATATCTATCAGTTATCTATGTAGAAATAGATATCT